GCTTTCTTGCTGCACTAACTCCAGGTCTACACTGCCGATTAGTAGTGAACCGCGCGGTCCTCCCTGCGAAACAGCTTCGCGAAAAGCGAAAAAAATGCGGCTCGCGCCTCTCCACTCATGGTAAGCTTGAAGGCCTCTAAAAATGTCAAGCAAAAAAACACCATACGCAGCATTGGGATAGAGCTGCGGGGCAGGGTGAATATCGGTCGAGGAAATCGTTGGCAAGAGGGTCGTACCTGTCAGGCTGGGTCATGGGGGGGGGTCGTACCTTGAAGGGTCAGTAACAGCAGGCGTATGTGGTATCGTGGCGCAGATAGTTAAGACAACCGTGAAGGAAAAGCCCTGGGCAAATGAAGTTGTTCTTCAGGTTGTAGGAGTTACGAAATGCGTTTACTACAATGCAGCTTCTGTCAACTGGTCATGATCATATGACACCTTCGAATCGATTCTGCAACTTCGAGTGAGGTCGGATGCATGGCCTATACTCAGACAAAATTCGATGATGACGATTGCCCCTTTTCCTATTGCTTATGTTGGGAGGATGTTTTCTAGACCCATTTCAAGCGTTGCCAACAATTACACTTGCAATGGTGAAGAAGGGAGCGGATTTTCAGGTGGCCGGATCCGTCCTCGATACATACTCGACGCAGATATCTTCTCAACTAGGGAATGTAGAAGAAAGCTAAGAAGACCATCAGAAAGCGCAAACCTTCCGCTTTCCAAAACTATCTTCACTTTTTCAGGATCTCACGTTTTAAGAGAGATATTGCTCTTGAAGTGGCAAAAACTCGCGTGAAAATTTCAGCGTCCTCGACGTTTACTCGACGAAATTTGAGAGACCCTATCTTTCTGCATGGAAGGCTTTCAGAGCAATTTCAATACTTCTTGGAAACGCGAAATCCAGCTCTATCTAACCCTACCTCAAACTGCTTCAAAGGTTATGAAATGGAGGAATGCAACCTTTTCATCGAGGGTGTAGATTTCGACGGTTTTTTTCGGGATTTCAGCGGCAAATCTGACCCAGTGACAATCGCGCCGCAGCTGCCGTTGAATCGGCCTTTGATACACTCGGCTGTTTTGATATACTCAAGCAAGAATCAAGATTAAATCGCAACCCCGTGCCTTCAGGATTTCTGTGCGTTTCTGAACGAACCTGACTTTTGACTTTTTTGATTGTTTGCAGGATTTTTTTTTTGATTTGTTTTGCAGGATTTATTTTGATTAATTAATTGAATTAATTTGCTCTGTTAGAGGGGGTCGTGCCAGGATCTCGATTTCGGGGGGGGGTCGTACCTCTGCGACCACGTACTCGACACGATTTTCACCCTGCTGCTGGGTGAAGATCGCTTGGATTCTATTTGTTGCGCGTTTCATCTATTGTACGCGCATGAAAGAGCCGTCGCCACGCATGGTGGCGATCTTCACTCACCACAGCGCTCTATCCTGATGCTGCGTGTAGTGCATTTTTGCTAGACAAACTCACATGCGATCAGGCTTACCATGACTGCTAGAGACGCCAGCCGATTGCACGCCTTCCATGCCCAGGTGTTCTGGATTCTGTTTATTGCGTGTTATATCTATAGCAAGCGTACTCAAGAAAGAGTCCTAGTCTAACAGGAGGTCGATTTTCGCTGTTTGGGATCTTCCAAAATCTCTCGGTTTCGTACGGGTGTGGTTCACCACGATAAAATCGACTTTTCCTCGTTTTGCTGCGCGAAACATTGTTCGCTGCGGGAATCTCGGGTCCACTGATGATTCGCTGCGGGAACCTCGGGTCCACTGATGATCAGCGGTGGACCTGAGGTTCCCGCAGCGGAAAATGTTTCGCGCTGCGAAACGCGAGAAAACCCTATTCGAGATGAGCCATGTGTTCTATTTCTATTCGAAATCATTTGAATGAATGCTATTTTGAATGCGATTTGTATATATATGAACCGTGCCAACGTGCACCTTGACAGGCTCTCCTGCCATTTGCTGCCCTGTCAAATTCTTCTCGTTCGTTATTTCTTTGTGCCGCAGTTCAAAATCGAGTTAGTTCTTTTTACTCTTTTGCGAATGAATTTTCGAATGTTTTCTGAACTTAGTGAATGAGTTGTTCCATCGCCGAATTTCCTAAGTTCAAACCAAATGCTGGTTACGGGATTAAACGATATCTAACAAACTTTCGGATTGTTGTGATCAAAACTTTATTAACCTCGCCTTTTGACCTTTCTCCTTCTAAATGCTACAAGCA